TGCAAATGTGTCTGCTTAAGGTTCATTTTAGATTCATTACAAGCCTTCAGAAGCAGTGTTCCTGCTTTTAATAAAACATATGGTTTCCTCAAAAGCAAAACTGTGCAAGACCACACATCCCTTTTAGATTTGGTGATGTAGATGGAATTTTAATGTCAGAAAGCCAGAAGGGCAAGGCAATTCCAAATCACTATAGAGAGGGCAGCATATCTTCAAAGCTTCAGGACACTTTTTTTACCAGCACTGGTAACTGTTCATACAATAGGTAAAACTTCTTTGGAAAAGAATGGGCAATTCCCCTTCTGCTCAGGTGATAATTGTGGTCAGGGAACTTTCTGGGCTCTCCACTCCCTGCCTTAGTGGGGAAAAACCACACCCTTCAGGTGAATGCTGAACTGTGGAGAACTTGGCATGTTAAATCACATTAAGATCTTTTTTTTCTGTTTTCTGTTCACACACAAGAATGTCTCATCTCTTGAAAAATTTCAGTAAAGCTATTTCCTGCCTTATTTAGTCTATGAACTGTATCAGAGATGTGCTTGGCTCATTATACACAGCCACATCCCTGCTTTGGGCAGCTTCCAAAGAACTGGGACATGCCATGATGGAGAGAAGGTTTAACACAAGGAGAAAATAGGGTTACAGGCAGGGGAGGTTATTTTTCATTGCAGAGACAGGCTGAGGACATGTTTTCTTGTTTGTTGATACATCCTTCAGAGAGAATCATTGGTGTGTCCATGACCAGCAGTGGTCTCCAGCCTCTGCTTTTTCCTCCTTTTTATGTGATGCATTTAAACCCTCCCACTTCCAGTTTCTCTCTGACAAGGCTGCAACAAAATTCAACAGTGAGAGGAGCAATATGAAAGAAAAGTAAATGCTCCACTTCCTTCTGTAATGCATTGCAACTGTGAGGGCTGTCAAGTGAAGGTCAAGCAGAAACCCTGAGCAGCAGTCACAGATTCCCTAAGAGGGACAGTTTTCAGTGCCCGTTCTTTCCAGCAGAAAAAAATGAAAGGTTCTATTTTGAGCCAGCCAGCAGAATACACAGAGAGTGAGTGACCTGCCACCAATGCAAAATGTGAGTGAAAAATCGCTAGAAATTACTCAGGGGTTCTCTAGTTTTCCCCACTCCCTGGAAGTGCATGTACAAGTAGATGAAAATTGAGTATGGGAGAGAGATGCCACTCATGCCCATGTGCAGTGTGCAGCTATAGTTTATCACCATAGCTGCAGAGTGTGTGCTCTGAGGTGTGGCTCAGCAGGACAGCTGACATGAGAGCTTTCTCTCCAGCTGTGTCCTAGCAGGCTGATTCACAATGAGGGGTTGACAGTAGGCACCTAAAAGAAGTGTTTTCCAGTCATACCACAAAGTTCCAGTCGTGTAAGGAGGCACTGAGCTCCCTTCTCCTTCTTCTCCCATTAAGCCAGCAAAAAACCCAGAATTATTTTACAGGGAACCAAATCTTGCTTGCTTTCCAAAACTGAGCAAACAAAAAACCACACCCACATAGAAAAGGAGAACTAATTAAGATTAAGTCATATCTGAGTAAATATGCAAATTAAAAATCAAAACAAAGAAATTCTATTTATCACATCATGAAGTTGCAAATCGCTGCTGTGGTTCCCATCAGCTGGAATAGATGAGGGCTATTAGGCCACAGGTTTTGAAGATCAACCAAATATGTCCATGTTTTATTGTGAAAGCTGGGGGACTGCTGGCTGTAGAATATGTTTATCAGCCTTCCCCCCTCTCCTCTGCACTGTGTTCATGTTCAGTGGTATTCATAGTCTACATTTTTCTTGGATTTCTATAATGTAGTGTCATTGGTTTTTCCCCTTTGTTTACCTTCTGTAAGACAACATCATTATTCTTTGATAAATATGTTTCATGTCTCCTGGGTAGGTTTTTTGTTGTTGTTTTGCTTTTGGTTTTTGTTTCGTTTTTTGTCGCGCTAATTCTTTTCCAGCTTTTAAAGATCAGATTAAAAATAAACAAACAAACCCCCAAAACTCTGTTGGGAAAGAATACAATAATCAACAGATATTGGCAACCCTGTTCCTTACCATGTATCACCATTTGCATGGAAGGGGATGGTCCCTGTGATGAGGGGAAGCACGTGCAAGGAGTGGCTCTTGGTTGGTGGAACTGGCTGGCTCCTCTACATGCCACAAGCTGCCACCTCTCCTCTTTCAGAAGAACCTGCTGCTTGGAACCAGCCCATTTGTGTTGCTTTGTAACGTGTGTAAAACACATTTTAATGCGTTTTAAATCTTCTGCAGCAGAAAGTGAATTATTGGGATGTAAAGTTCCGTACAGTGCAGAGATGTAACTGGTTTGTGGAGTTTGTCAGGGTGATGAAGATCCTCTCAGCTTTGAATTCAGCAGTGTGACTGCAGCCTGTGCTGGCAGCAGAGGGAGGTTGGTGCCATCCCTTTGCTGCTTGTGAGACCTGTGCTGGTGGCTCTGATCCAGGGCTGGCACTCCAGGCTGGAGAAACCACTACCAAGATCAGTGCTAACTGCCTTGCTCATCAAAGGAGCAAAGGGCAGAGCTAATGAGGAAGAAAATCTTCCTTCCTGACCTCCAAACAGGCTCTAAGCACATCCTCACTCATGGGGAACCTCTTTCTGCAGCACAACTGCCCCCCAAATTGAGCTCTCTTGGTGTTTTGTGTGCTGTGCAGGCAGGCAACAAGAGGGACTTCTGGAAGTCCATTACAAATGTTTTATGAATAAATACTTGCTTCCTAAAGAATATCCTTTCAGTCTTCAATGTAAAGAAATGGCAGGTTTGTATTTTTTGCCTTTCATTCTCTGTTTGTTGTCTTCCAGACTTCCCTTCATTAGCAAAATGTTTTTGTGGTAGGAGGCATTTTCCCTTTTTTGTCAGAAACACAGTCTTAAAATCACTTAAATTATTGAAAAATTCAGCAGATCCTGTTATTTGGCTTCTCAGATTTAAGTAATAATAGGGACCTTTTTTCCCCCCAATTATCCTGTTAATGCAAATGTTTGACCTTCAGTTCCTAGGCTGCAAGCTTCTCCATCTGTAAAATATCAGTGAGTTGGGTAACAGCTATGTTTTGTCCCAATGGCATTAGCAGCTCCTTAAAAATGTACAAGTGCAATATTGAAAGTAGGTATGCTTTGGTTCTTTTTGATTGCAAATCTGCAAGAGCAGGGCTTATAAATGAAAATTCTGGTTCCCCTGGGTTTAGTCAGCTTTGAACATTATCATAGGTACTCAGTATCATGGTAATTCATGCAATGCCTGCATATGGAAATTAAAAGAAGAAATCAAACCCACTGGTCAGACTCAGCTGGGACCATTGCTGTTGCTGTTTGTGCTGGGAGGATTGTCCTGGTTTGTTTGTTTTGTTTCATGTCACATCCTCATTTTCAGTATGAGTTCTTCCTGACCCAGATTTCTGAGCAGACTGAAGTAGAGCCAGAAACTGTAAAAGTGCATAATTATTCTTTTATTTATTTTTAAGCTGTACAGCTCTATTAAGCTTTCAGAAAATCCTTTATACCCAGCCTTTGAAGTAAACTAAGCCAGAGATCAGCCTGAGAAGGAGATGTGGGTTGACACTGCCTGTTTCTGCTGCAGAATACTCTGCAGTTAAGATCAGACCTAGGAAAATCTTTCACCTTTCTTGGAGTGCAGAAGAGGGGAGGGATCAATACATCCAAAAGCAATACTTTACACCTTTGGTATGTTCTGCAACATCACTTGCTGGCCGTGCTGTGTAACAGCTGAAAGCTGGAAGATTATTCTGGCTACTGGCATGTAAGTGAGCAGACCACACATTAAAGCTGTGTATGCTCCATCTGCCAAGCCATTCATTCTTCCCAGCTCGGGACAAATTAAAAAACTCTGCCCCAGAGGTGGAATATTATTATTCCTTTGCCTGTCCCCCAAAGCAATACATTCCTCTGCTCTGAGTCTGATCGAAAACATTGACCTGGAGGTGAAAAATGCAGTATCTCTTCCCCTGATTCATCCAGACTGTGACCCAGACAGCACTGAAATCACACAGGCTTCTTTCTGGTCTCAAAAAATTACCCAGTTGCTCTGATGGGCTGAGGGCCAGATGGGATGCAGGCAGCCTGGGAGGAGAAGGACCCCCAGAGCCATCTAGTCTAGTGGTCACTTTTCTGCCATAAATATTGCATCGGGCAAACCTCAATGCATGCACCACTCCTGCATTGAAAGTGGGCATGCAAGGAAAGCCCCTGTGGTCGTTCCTTTGAGAAAATGGCAGGAGGCCAAGGTGGGGTAACCTGCCTTTCTGAGAGCCAGATGATGTGGCTGTGACATCCACTTTGAGTCTTTCCTCAGCCATTCAGGCTTGACTCTGAGTTTGGCCCTTTCCCAGGAAGTCAAGCTATCAAAACTTTTCCATGTTCTTCACAAAACACAGCCACTCCTGGTGCTTCTGCCCTCCCTGCAGACAGTGTGCTTGAAGATCCAAGAGGCTCAGTTTTTTGTTTGTACTGCCTCTTGTTAGCAGTGCTCTGAGCATTCACACAACAGGAGGAAAAGATGCCAAGGCACTTCAACCACCTGGATTAATTAGGTCTTACACTAAATGTGGAGCTACAGCAAGGGGGATGATGATTAAACCAACAGACTTCTGGAAACTGAATACCTTCTTCTCTGCTATATTTCAGCTTCTGCAACCTTTGTTAGTGCCTCAAGGCAAGAATGGTATTGTCTGTATGTAGAACAGTCTGTTTCTGTATTAGCAATAACAGTAATAGGGCTGGGAATAATAATGCTTTACTCCTGAGAGGTCAGTGAGTATCACTCTTCATTTTATCACTCTCATTGGTGAGACAGGCACAAGGACACATCAGAGCTTGCTTAGTACCACCTCATCCCTTATTAACAGAGCCAAGGCTGAACCCAGAAAAAGCATTTCCCTGTTGCTTGCTCTTCCCCCTGAGACCATCTCCTCCTTTGGTGACGTCCAGTCTCTCTTGTGGTTTTTCTGCAGAAGGTGCAGTAACAGCAGCCTGGAGTCTGATGATGAACCTCCTTGTGCAGAAGAGATTGATTATGACACTGCCAGTAGCTCTGATGGTGAAGAGGAATTCTTGGAGCTAGACCAAGAGATCCAGGAGTGCCTCTCGTGTGTGGAAGGCGAGACAGAAGATGAAGGAGTGACCACAGGACAGACATGCAGCTCCAGGGCTCTGAGGGGGCTCTACATTTCCAGCCAGCCAGCACCCAACAGCACAGCTCTTCCTCTGGGCTCATCAGCACTTGGGCTGTGCCGTGGGTTTGAGAGCAGTCCCGTGTGAGCAAGGCTGAGACCTGCAGAGCAGCAAGAAAATGGGTCACTGCTCGTGTTTGCCTGTTTGCCAGCTTCAGCACCCTTCCCAGATGTGTTGCTCCTGGTTCTGAATGGAGAGCTGACTGTCTGTCTGTGTAATTTGTATACATACATCTGCTGAGGGCGACTCCTTACACTTTGTACCCGAGGCAGAGCGAGGGGCCACCAGCCCAGGTGGTTCCATGTGGGGTCATCCATTCCTCAACACAATCCCAGTTTCATGGCTGCCTCTGGTACATGGTTTCATACAGATTGACCTAAGGAACAGTATTTTGAGACAAAGGAATCAGAGATGATTCTCTTTTTCTGACTTTAGGTGGCCTTTGCCTGGAGAAGTGACAGTTATTGATGCCTTTCAGCAGAGCTCCCTGTTGCCATTCTCTCTTGAGCTGTAGAGCATGTCTCTGATTTCTGTCTGATCAGAATTTTTACAGTGCATTCAACAGGTTGGGTCAGGCTGTGCATATTTCTGAGATGGTTGTGTCTCAGCAACAGCAGGGGAAATCCAATGTGCCACAGTAAGGAAAGCAGCACTGACAATTCATAGTGATCCTCTGGAAACCTGAGCTAAATTCACCAACAGAATAGTGATGGTGGCAAAACCCTGGAGTGAATTTAGCCCAAGCATCAATCAGAACAGTTTCTTTAATCCCCAAATGGAGAAAAATTAGATTTCTCCTAAAATTGTCTCTCAGTTCCTGAGAATCCAGCACAGACAGAGAACCCACACACGTGTTCTGTATCTCTAAAGCAGGAAGCCATGTCACTTCAGCTCACACTTCACATTGCCTGATCTTGCCAAGTGTCTTAAACTCTGCTGCTGCAAATGGGGAATTGCCCTGAATCCAAATGGAGCTAATTTTAAGATGCAAGAGGCTCCCAACTCTGTCACTGCTTTGTGAGGCTCAAGGACAAGGATGAATGTGCTGAGTGTGTGTAGCATTACAGCCTGCAAGGACTCCAGTGATTACCAGTGATGATTATTATTAATATTGATGCATTATTAAAAGCACCGTGTCATCTTCCTGGTTTTATGCTGGTTTTGAAGAGAATTTCTAGTGCAGAACATGAAATGCTCTGATGTGTTTCTGAGCACCTTTCCTCAGACTACCTAGACAATATTTTCCAGCAAGAGGTTGCTCTTTAGATAAAAAGCTTCTTCATGTCCTGCTTGGTTTTCAGTATCCATGGATCTTAAAATCTTCCCTAGCACATAAGAGCTCCCTGTGTCTCTGTCTCTCTAGGATGCAGCTCAAAAGACAGGCAGCTTGGGTCCTTAGAAGCTGAGCTTCTTAGCCCAGACTAATTCATTAGGTGTGGTGTGTGCCTCTGTACAGATGTCCTGTTCTGCTTGGTTTAGCATGCAGCTTGTTGCACACAATACTGAATTTTAATAAAAGGGTGGCTCACAGGAAGGGACACAAAAGAGGTGAAACAGGTGTTCCCATTATAATAGTTTGTATAATACTGCTTCAGAGCTTATTAATAAAGAAACAATGTATGTGTATAATTAACTTAAAAATCCAGTGTTTGTAGGCATGACAAAAACTTGACACTGTGCTAGGTACTGATGGCAGCATACAAAAGCCATGCTCTGGGGTGTTCAGCATTCAGCACATCCCCAGAACACAGGGTAAAAAATGCTGTTGTGCCTATCTGTGTCATGCATGTTTGCACCCACTTTGCTTTCTGTACCAACACTGCCACAAGAGTAGCTGAAGGGTGCCTACCAAGGCTTGCCAGTGGTAAACTCTATTGCAAAGAAAAAAAATATCTTCTTTAATCAGCATTTTCCTTAATGAGATGCAAATATTTGGGCTATAATATGTGGCTTTCTAGCTGTTTCATTCTGAGGGTTTTTTCAAGATAGGGGGAATTCAGTTCAGTGGGAGAATTCTGTGCTGGTGACTAAACTGTGCAGAGGTAGTCATAATATAATAAAAGATGTCTCTTCCATGTGTGTTTGGAGCCAAATGTGTATGAGCAGTAGCACCATTTCAGAGACCCCTGTGCTAGGAGCTGCAGGAGGTGGGGAGATGGCAGAGGTCCTCTATTGTAAATCAAAGGCAACTCCGACGAAGGGGAGAGAATGATGAGGAGGACTCCATGGATATCAGAAAGCTAATTAATTACTTTATTATACTATACTATATACATTTCATCTAAACTGAACCTGCCAAGCACTCACTCTGCACACAACTGCTCACACTCTCCAGAATCTCGTGACTTTCACCCAACAGTTCCGACACACACATGCTTGGCCCTGACAGGCCAAGGAAACAAAACACCACCACTTTGGATAAACAATCTCCACATTGCATTCTACTTTGGCACAACACAGGGACAGCAAGTGATAAGAATTGTGTTTTCCCTTTCTCTGAGGTTCAGAGAACGTGAATCTCAGAAATCCTTGGGAAGAATTGTGCCTTGCTTTTCTCTGTGAAGAGAAATGTGGCAACAGTCCTTGGGGTGTTTTCAGAGTCTGGGATCCAGATGCAGCAGCTGAGCTGGGAGCAGTGTCCCTGGACATCAACCACACCTGCATAAATGCTGCTGTGTGGTGTGAAAAACCGGGTCAATCCTTTCTCCCTGCCAGCATCCCATGCCCGTGCCAAATAACTTGTCAGCAAGTGAGGGTGCTGCAGAAGGCAGAGGGCAGGAGAAGCCCCCAGCCCAAGGATGGGGAAGTGCAGCAGGACACAAGGGTGACCAACCACTTGGAGTGGCACCTGGATAGCTCCAGGAGAAGCAGTTTCGTGGGCTGCCTCTTTTTTTTTTTTTTTTTTTTTTTTTCCCCAGGAACTTGTAGAGAGGGAGCGGATGCTCCTCTTCTTGTGACAGACCTCTAGAGGTCAGGAGAATGCCTCGGTGCGCGCTGCGCGCTCCGCGCTATTAAAATTCTCCCTGAGTCATGGTAATTAAGCAGAGCTAGGCTCTGCACAGAGGAACGGAAGTGCATTGACTTTAATAAAACAAAGTGTAAAACAACTTTAGATTAACTCCAGCCTTGTTTATTCTTGCACACTTGTCATTCTGGTTTGGTATCCCGCAGTGAATGAAGCCCTTGTCCCCTGCGCCGGGCCCGTCACCTCACTTCAGCCCGCGGAGCGCTGAGAGCAGCGCCTTTCCTTGCTGCCGCTAGCTAATCCCAAAGAATTTGGAAACAGCCGACGGAAAAAGGGAGGGAGAGAGGGAGGAGAGGGCAGTCGCCCTGCTCCCCACCGTTTTGTCCTTCCTCAAGAGTCAGCAAGGCTGTCAGGTTGAGACTCAAGCCAAATACTCCCATCATGGCCAGAAGAGATGGTGTCTTAGAGGCACTGCCTGGTCCCCAGCGCTGCAGCAGTTTTGGGCTCCTGCCAGGCACATTAACTTTTTTTACTGATGCTTTTTGTCTCACGCTGGCTCTCTTAGAGGCTGTGAATGGCTGTGCTCTCCTTCCTCCCCCCTCCAGTTGACATGACGTGGGTGGAAGATGCTGAGCTGAGCCCTGCACTACACTGCACCCTCTGTCTCAGCCCCTCTCCAGCTCCTGGGTCTCCCGGCCACAATAGCCCTTTCCTGCCAGAGATGATCCCGAGGATGCCTTGCCAGTGCCTAGTGAAATACATGTGTGTGTGTAAACCTCTGGGCTAAAAAATAAATAATTAAACAATAAAAAGAAGAAAGAATCAAGTCAGCAAACTGAAGGAAGAACAAAATCTAATTAGTTTTATCTGCTGTTTGTTATGAGGCTGTCAGAGTGCTCTATCCCGTAGTTTTACAGCACTCTGGAAAATAACAGTGATAATAATAATAAACAACCATGCACTGGGTTGTTTTTGAAGCAGGCAGGAAGCAGATTAAGGAGGGGGAAAGACAGCAGCCCTGCTCCTCCACTGCTTCTCTGCTGCTGCCAAACAGCAGAGATGTGGGTGATAGAGCTATCTCCTGTCTTATCTGTCCTTGGACAAGATCCACTGCCCCTATCCATCCCTTAGAGATGCAAAGCCTGAGTCAGAGACTGTTTGGCAGCAATCTGGGACACTCATATTGTATTTCTTTCTTTGCCACAGATCTCTTATGTGCTCTTGACCAATTTGTTTGTTCTCCCAGTTTCTGTTCCATTGTGAGATAAAAATGGCAAATATAGTAGTAGTGAAAGTGGGTGCATGGTTTTGGAATAAGGAGGGGGGGAAATAAGGATAAAAAGCTGCTCAGGTGTTTGCTCTATACTGATTTCAGCTGATGAGAGGGGAGCTGGAATTACCCTGTGCAGGACTGTGGTGGAAGTTGCCATCGCTGGTTTCCACTTGATGAGCAGTGATCATTTGTTAGGACATTTCTCTTTGAGCCATGCTGGATAATTTTAAAAGCTTCTTCTGTCAGGTTGTTATCAGCTCATCCTGTCCCATGGCCTGGTTCTTACAGTGTGGAAACTTTCACTCCTGTTTTAGTGAGAGCAGGATTTGACCCTCTGTTTGAAAACACTTTTATGGGTTTCCAGGCAGAGGGCTGGACATAGGGCTTATCCAGTTGAAGATAATATGCAAAATCTTGGAGATTTTGTCCATGTACTCTGTCCATGTAATTGCATTGGGAAAAGATGAAGGACAATGTTAAAGAAATAAGGTATAAATCAGAGAGGAAGGAGAGGACTCAGTGCGAGGAGAGGAATGAAGAGAACAGGAGGAAATAGGAGTAGGGGGCATTTGGGGGAGACACAGGCAGAGAAATGGGAGAATTGTTCCTATTTGTGCATCCTCTTCCGTCCCCAGATAATGTGTCAGTATTAGTGCTACCAAGACACAACCCTCTTTACTGTAGAATAAATCTGCCACTGTATTCCCCACTCCATAAACGGCAGCCAAGTCCGTATCCTCAGCGCTGCATTGTGCTCTGGGGTCTGTGAGTGCTTTTCATGAGGCTTGAGCCTCTATCATCCCTGCCCTTGGGCTTTCTCTCCAGGGACTCACATCCTCAGACCAGTCC